TGGCACTATTCTAAAGTTATGAATGGTTTTTGCGACGAGTTTTTGTTAGTAAACCATTGTGTTACAAAAAAGTACTTGTATATAAATAAGTTACCCGGGCAATTGATTTACATCAGCCAATCAGACGAACTTCTTCCTTTGATGTTTATTTAGCATAAGTATAAAAAAACGTTTGTTGATTGATAATTGCATGGGTTTCAAATGAGAATTAGTTCATATAAACTTATGATACCGGATTAATTACTGCAAAGATATATGCAGAATATATTTATTTAGTGCAATCTTACATTTCAGATCTGGGGCACAAATAGATCAAGCCGTATTGTGAAGTTGTTGCCTTATGTCGCTCCGGAAATTTTATCAGACAAAAACCTGGGCATTATTGGTCAGTGGCATACGGAGTCATCGATTCAGAGATGCCAATTGAACAAAAACCCTTATTGGCTATCAATTTGATGACAAACTTGTAGCAAAGATTTGCATCAAAATGCGGTCTGAATTTGATCCTGGAACTTCTGGCCGTAATTCATAAATTCTGAACCGGGATTCAGTGATAACAATAGTTTTTTTAAAATTGTTCACCCGAGTGACCCGCGGGTCCACTCGTCTGGTCACCCGATTTATGATTTATCACTAAACCCTTCTTAAATTTTGAAATTTTTTAAAAACTTCTAAAAAGATTTTCAATAACTACTTAATTATATAAAATTTGTTTATTTTAATTCTATAATTTGTAAAATTAAAATAAACAAAATTTTATTGAATTTGGTTTAGTCGTTATCGAGAAATCTTCACTTTAAGTTTTTAAAAAAAAATTAGAATATCAAAAAAAAAGATATCTATATAAAATTTTTTTTCTTTATGAAAGATTTTTTCGACAGCCGTCTGCCCAATCTGGTGAAATTTATTTATTTTATTTTAATTTTACGAGTTTAAAAAATTAATTAAAACAAAAAAAATTTATTTAATTTGAATAGGTAGTTGTCAACAAATATCCATTAAAAGTTATTAAAAAACAATCCGGTCACAACTAGACGCTTATAGGGATTGGAACTGCTATTCGGTTAACCGTCTATAACCGTTTATTTATAATATTAATATACTCGAGTAAAAAATTTTATAACCAATTAAAATCGTTAAATTATTCGCTTAACCGTTTTTTTAAATTTTATAGGATTAATCATTTAATGATCGTTTAATGCTTCATATGAAGTCAAAGATATTAATCTGAGCATAAGTGTTTATTAAAAAAAACAGGCCGCATAAATTTATGTAATTCGATAACTTGTAAAAGCTTCGTTATTAT